TATATCCTCCTATCACGCCTTCACTGTCACAATTTTTTACTTGCCTAATTAAATGTGGTACGGTGTGCCCTTTTGAGCGACGAAAACAAGGTCAAACATCTTCTATACAACGAAAGGAGACTGCGATCACGCAAAAGGCCACAATATCTTGGTCTTCATAGCTTTGATTAGACCTTCTTTAGTTTACGATAATATCAAATCACTAATTCTTTCCCACGAACTTTTATTATAAAATGTCAAGTCACACTAAATCATTAATGAATCCTTTGAAATCCAGCTGTTCTTCGTGTGTGATTTAGTGCCTATTTACTTATGGATATATAAATTTCTGCGTTTTTTAAATCTATATATAAATATACATCTGTATATGTATGAGTTTCATATGACAGACCCCATCAGGACAGGACAACCTCGGTAAAAAATCCTCTAGCTAAGGCAGGTTGCCGTGGTGACTGCATCAGCCTGAACATAGCAGTGAACCGAAAGAATATCCGGCTAAATTGGGTATCATTAAATCTTGAATAAAATTTATGGTCAACCCAGATCGCTCAGAATGATAAATTAACTGATAGATTAATTTTCCTACAATTATACGAGTAGATCTAACGTTTTTACTGAATTTCTCATAGCCTAGTTTTAGATAAATGTATCATCTTCCAGGTTGATTTAGGCTACAACCTCGTATAGTCTTCATCACTTCCTCAAGTTTGATTCGGTACAGACTTATGAATAATGTGGCGATGTTACAACTCCACTTGCCGGCTTTGAATGTCATATCTATTCTGTGAGTCACTGGCACACATGGTTGTGTGTTGCAATGGTAACGTCGCCACGATACTCACGCGTTGGTATCTAATCTTGTTGAGAGGAGTGATGAGACCCAGGCAAGACCGAAATTGCATTCTAATCCAGCCAAGATTAGAATACTTTAGGGGAAACAAAACTCTATAAAATTTAAAGAAAACGTGATGCCTAATTATGTGGTTGTGAAAAATTCAACTATCAGTTCTTCATCACCTTCTGCGACTCAGGGATACTGAATCAAATGAAAGCTGTACAAGAGGAATCCGCTTCAGTCTATAAGTGGGTGTAAACTAAGTATTTCTTTTCAACCCCCTTTTATTATTTTATCATTTGCACACAACTTTTACGCATATTACTACAGAAGGGGGCACACTCTTGGCCATCCCATCCCCACTATAGTTGGCTAACAAAATTTCATTTTCTCATATTAATTGGTGCCTTTTTAAAGCAGTTAATTTGTAGACCTTACTCGCAGAGTGTCACAAAAATAGCTTGTTATGTATAATTTTAAGAAAAAGGTATATTGTTCATGCACTGATTGAAATGTCAGACTATCTGAGATAGAAAAGTCTTGATCTATGGGTTGGTGTCAGGCCGGTATCTAGTTTATGCAAATAACTTGTTCCAGGGCCAAAATAGTCTTCACTCTATTTTAGCTCGTCGCTTCTTCTCACTGACCATACCATATGGAAATGTTCACTAGCATTGCACCATCCTCCACAGTCACGCGGATCCAGGCTGAGCCCACTCTACGCCGCCATTCTGGATCGTTGACTGCTGTCGCCATTGCCTGGAACAGATACTGACGGCCGACAGAATTATTGAGATGGGTGAAGCAGACTCTGCCCACTTTGTTGCTCACTGCGAGCCCGATTGGATCTTCGTTGGGACAAATGTTAGCCAGATTTGTCTCGGAGGAAAAGGCCTCGACAACGGGTCGACTGCTCGGGTGCAAAGAAGCGGAGATGGGGGCAGACCGACACGTCCAGATCCAATCTTGTAGGCCCTGAAAACAGGAGAATATTGGTATATATGAAGAAAAGTTGACTTTGAATAGCTCCTTAATACTTTACTTTGACTCGAATCTTAGTCTCGAGACTAAATTTTATTGTTCGTGTTTGAGTAGAGTTTTGAGACTACCAGTAAATCAGTAATAGGAGATGTATTCACACTATTTCGTTTAAGCTAATGAAGTTCTGGTAGTAAAATTTACCCATTTACGTGTCAAGCTCCCATTCTGCACTGCCACGGTTCGACTCCCGCTGGGGGTGTTGATAAGACCGATGCGAGGTCGAAACTGCAGTCCACCCCAGCCGGGATGAGAACAACTTTTAGGAAAGCAAGGCTATGTGAAATGCAATGGAAACGTTAGCTCAACTCATATCATTGTGGGAAAATTCTTCTCCTACCAGTCCTTCATCACCTTAAACGAAATAGGATGGATATATCTCATATTAAATTTTATTTGAATTTGTTTGTTAAAAATGGACTTTCCGAAATGCAGATAAGTGATCTGTAGTTTATTCTGGCGGCAGAAAACGTGTAATATATGAGATACATGGAAAACCATTTTATCCTAAGCTTAGCCAACCAGCCAGAAGCGCTGTACCTTCCTTAAAAATATTTCCATTATATAAAATCAGCAATTCACCCAGTTCATTTATAAAGGAATCCTAGGTTAATAAAAGGTCACCTCAAAGTTGATTACGAAGTGTTGGGAATCGGAAATTTGGGATGCTTTGATTAATTCTTTTTCTTGATTAAAATAATAGCCTTTTCACATATTTTCTCTTGTATTCAGACTCACAAACATACCTCTACGTTAGTTACTAATCCTTGCCTGGACGATGGCATGACTACTGCTTAAATATGAAATATAATGACAATTGCTAGTGAGTTAATGTTAAATTTGCGATTTTTTTCTCAGGACGATTTACACATTTTTTCCCAATGCATTTCAGTCTCTGAAATCGGTACATCATTTGAGCAGTAGTTGCATCCCTTCCATGTCCGGATATGCTGAAATGGCTGAAGGCATGTTGTGTATTAAGTAAAGTGTACTGCCGAGACATCGCCTTTATTGTTTTCGGCTGCACCAGAATTGTGAGAAGAAGATGTCGTAATCAGTTGGCAAATAAAGAGAAAGAGATGAACGAAGACACTGACTATACATTGACCTGAAGAAAGGCTTATTTTAACTGTGTTAGCTTGCTCAATTTTTCAATTGACAATTTGTTACTGCATTCCGTTGGGCTCACTTTCCTTTCGAGTGAAAATGAGTAACGGAGATATTCATTGGTCAAACTCCGAAGGAAACTGCCGATTCCTCTTGAACAAGTAACTTTTTCGCTTTACCATTACATTCTGGCCGGGCACAGTCCACGAGACGACCTCCTCTGACTGAAAGGTTTTCTTGCCTCTTTAACCCGAAGTGGTTGTAAGGCTGTTGAACAGCTGTATTTCATATGAAACACGCACGCATAATCATATATAAATACCTACATAGGCAAAAAGGCAAACAAATTTGCGTGTTCACAAGTGGATTTGAAAGTGTAGTTTCCAAGACTACATATTGTGGCTAGGGGCTCGGTTGTGTAAAGAACTGCATCAACCGAAGTGTTACAGAAACGCCAAAAAGAATGCACCGTCATCATCTGATAAGATCGCCCCATAAATCTCTTCATCTCACTGGCGGAATCGCACTCTGAATAAACGTGAACTAAACAACTATTATACGATTCAGCATTAATGATTTCAACGAATAACTTCTTTGCTCGGGGACAAGTTGCACTAGATTGTAACAGCATATGATCGTATTATTTAGTCTGCATCACTCCGTAAGCAGTGAAAGCGTGTGATTTCAATCGGCAGTATTGAAATTGAGGATACAGCATCAACTTCTGCCCGATGTCTCTACATCAACGCTTCTTCCGTGACAATACAACTAAGCCCATTA